TTAGCTCGTGTCATAAGACATGAGCGGCGGCCGGCTTCTATGAGTTTGAGTCGGATTCGGGCCGAAATTTTGGTGGATTAATCACAATGTAGGTTTCGAAATGTTTTACTTGTTGCTGGTGGTATTTAACAGTAACAAGTTAGGAGGCATTACGTTTTGGTTAATCCTAGCGGAGTACTTGCATCTGATCTAATTAGAACCGCACTGGTCGTTTTAAACTGCGCGCGCAAACCGAATCGATCAATATTTTTTTTTTGCAGATTGGTCTCGTAACTTTTATCATGGAAAAAACTACGAGTTTGCTTGCGCTTTTGTGTTGTCAATGAAATCACGGCTACGGAATCGCTGAAATTGTTGCAGAAGTATTTTAGGAAATTTTTGGAAACATACAGGAAACATCGAAAAATTTTAGGAAACATAGCTTGAAAATCATCATGTTGACATCAGAAAGGTAGCAGGGGATCTCAACAACTTTTATGGATCAATACAACACATTTGGGTTAATGTTTTGGGTATGAAGCGTATCAATGCTAGACTCGTATCAAAAGATCTGCATCTTATGCGAAAACAATGTCGAGAGTGAAACAGATGCATGGCAACGTAGCTGATGACCCTACATTCAGTAAAAAAAAAAATCGAAACTGTTCCACAATCTAGCAAATGGCGCTCCACAAATGAGACAAAACCGGCAATACTAAAATTCACTGAAAGCTATCTGAGCGCCATCCCAGCCAATACTTGTAGCAAGTGTATGGAAATTTTAATTAAAAGTTGTTAAGCATGTATTAGCTCAGAAGTCTATTTTGAAGACGATAATAAAGATTTGAATTAAAATCCGTGAACATTTTTTTATGATCAATACAGTTGGTATAACAACCAATTATTTTACTTTAATGTGGTTGCTACAGAGAGAGCTTGATCGCTTAAGCCCATTTCTAAGCATATCAATAAGGAATATAATTAAAGGCGCTATCATATTCATATATTTGTTTGGAATATTTTTAGACATGAACTTCTTCAAACAGCGTTTTCTAGGAAATAAGTTAATCCGTTTCTTGGTATATAACTTGTTGTCGAAAATGGAGAATCTCAAAATTTTCTTCTTAAGATTGACAGCAACACATACGAACATATTTTTATGTCGTCAATGATAGCGAAGCTTTTGGAAAAGTGACTTGAACAATCCACCAAATCCATTTTTCTGAAAAATCATTTCTAGTAAGCACAAGGAACAACATTCTCAAAGTCAGAGTAGTATTGAGGAAAAGCAATTGCGTATTAAACTCCACAAAGGCTCGAATTTATAAGGTGTGTACGAGTAGTATGTACTATTAGACAATGAACTTTACTTATTATCAGTGAGTTCAAGAGCGCTTGTAGGGTTGGCTGCCAAAAGAGCATTAGTCGTCTGAGGATTCTCACGTGATTTTATAAAGGCTTACTATACATTAAGACCAGAAAGTTTCGAAAATTGTAAATAAAACGAAAATTTTTAATTTTCATCAATATTTATTTGTCGCCTTCAAATATGCTCCTCTGAAGCGATACATATGCCACCCTTTTCCAATCATCGAAACATGCCTTGTAGGTGCCGGTCCGGGATTGCCTTCAGTTCCTTTTGCAAATTTGTTTTTACGGCCTCAATCGAGCCGAAACGTGTTCCAGGTGGTACATAGAGTTTGAAACAAAAAAAACAGTCACATGGGGCCAAATCCGTTGAATACGGTGGTTGATGATGCCATTGAACGAGTTTTTGGTCTTAAAATCGTTCAATATACTCTGTGGCAACATGTTCTTACATAGACCAGAAAGGTTCCAGAATTGTTTTTCGATATTAGCATTTGCGCTGCAGCTCTTTGTGAGCTTTGGCCTGTGCACCTGTCCTCACACATTCGGTCACTTGCAATTTTTCTCAAATTTTATACAATCTTTGATGTCTTCCTCAAATTCATTACTATTGATTTGGTCATCTTCTTTCTTTAGTGTTAAACGCTTTGTTAACAATTTTCTTCTACGTCATCTTAGCGGTCATTTTGTTACATGGCCTACTTCTTAATCGATATGCTTAATAAAAGTAAAATTGGTCTGCCTCATTATTTCTCAATATACGCCACTCGTCATTACCTTTGACTTTTCTTAAAGTTTTTCTTTTGAAGATTTACAGTTTGGCTTTGTCCTCTTCGAGCAGCGTTTATGATTCATGATACCGTAGCATTAAACTGGTGGGATGACGGTTTGCGTAGAACCAATTTACATTGTCATGTGAGCAATTACGGATTGAAAAGTTTGTTTAATGGTGCTTATGACCTATGTGCTATTTACATACCCTCATCGTTAGTAAGGCTTGCTCAGTTGTAGCTGCGGCTTAAGATTAAGTAGGTCAAAAGATCTCATAGTTTCATATGCTGGATAATTTTTTCTACTCATCGCCATATAATAAACTAATAGCTTAGTGAATCTTTCTTATCAGCCGCTGGCTGTGTAGTCAAATGCCATCTGCTAGTACTTAGTGCCGACTAGTAAATAATTAGTTCAATAACGCTAAAACCGTGTAAAGAGATTTCCAAACATTCGTATACATTTTTTGATTGATGGTTTCTTGTGTAATTAAGACTAATTTGGTTCAACTCACATTTATTTTTTTATTGGTCAAAACGAATCAATAAACGAAATAATTGGCGAATGGATAAGCAACAATTTAAAAATGTAGAGAAAAATTGCTGAAAAAATGCGCAATCCCTAATTATTACAATTATATATAAAACATGCATTAAAGTGCATTTTGCTACGAATATTTAATTACTTAATTATTTTTAGAGCCTAGTAATCGGTCATTTTAATTAATATGCGTGTGGCCATGAATTCAAATATGTTGAAGCAATTTTAAAAGGAATGCACATATTTCGGTGAAAATAAATACACGCTTAAGTTAACTGATAGAAAATATGAAACTTATCAAAAATAAAATTTCCATAAACTCATTTGAAGATGTCATCAAACTATATAATATACTTGTATATCTACATAGCCTCTTCTGCTAGATGCTTGACCAGCTTTTGCTCCCATTACTGTTATGTTCATTATTGCCATTCTACAAAATAAAGAGGCCTCTAAGTTTTAAGCCAGTTAATGGTGGCTGTAAGATTTTTTTTATGCCAGCAATAAATTTAGAGGTCTGGTCAACGACTCCCGCGGTGCGATCGTTATTAGAAAACATTTTTTTTCCATAGCAAGTGCCGCACCGCTTAGATGAATAATTTTTTAAAGCTTTTTACACTTTTGAAAGGCTTTAAAATGGCTTACAGACTTAAATTTAATAATAATATAAGAGAAATTAATTTAAAAAAATTGATATAAAAAATTAAATATTAATAGACTAGATTAATTTTTTAACATTAAAGTGGTCATGTTATAGATAAGGGGCACAGCTGGTGTGAAATTAACAAAAAAAAAAATATATTTTTTATATATATATATATATTTGATTTTTTCATGTTTCGTTAGATAATTTTTTTTTCGATATCTCAAATAGTATTTGAACCACAGCCTTCTAAAGTGTAGCCGATGAACCACCTACATCAGTTTAACTTTAAACGTATTGTTTTTTTCGAGAAAATGCTTGAGTGATTATTCGGAGACAAATGATCCGATCACTATCAAATTTTTTCTGCATGTTGATTTGATCAAATTTTGATTTTGGCAGGCCAAAGGCGACTAAATATTTAGGTAAATTCAACTTTTAAAAAAAGCGCTGCCATTTTGAAAATTTATGTTATGTTTATTCGCCGGTAGGTGCTTATATGAGCAATATCTTCTAGTAGAGAATTTTGTTTTTATATTATATTTTATCCACAGAGAAGTCCGCAATCATTGCAACATTGAAGGATGTTGTGTTACTCAAAAAATATTAATTTTTATTTTAAAAAATTTTACTGTGTATTTCTAAAATATTTATATATCTAAAATTTTAGTTTAAAACAGTTAAAAAAAATTTTATTTTAAATTCCTAAAAATTGCGTTTTTAGTTGGTCACACTAAGTGTTAGCCTTTAGAACAACTTTAAGTGTAAATTAGAGTTTAAAATTCGAAAATGTTTTCTATGAAATTATGAAAGATGCTAAATCTTAATCGCAAAACCTTATTTTCATTTTGTTTTCAATCCCGTTAATATCAAAAGCATATCACCAAAAGATCGCTTAAATTTTGGCTATTGCTAGTACAATATATGCAGACTTTTTTTCATTTCATTTTATTTTATTTCATATTCCATTTGTAATTTTACTAAAATTCCATAGCATTTTGGTGCTGGAGCAGGTTAAGAGTGCTAAGAGATTCAAAATTCAGCAATAAAATAAGAAAAAATAAACTAGCTGATAAAAATATTCGTTTTCCCTATTATATTTAATTGCTTCCAAAATCAAATTAGAATTATCGTAATTACTAATTATAAACAATATATAACTTCCGTATATTATATTTTTGCCGGTCAATGCAGCCCAATTCCCATACCATTCTATTCGCGCGCACACCCTCAGTACGCTCCTGGCCTTCTACAACACAAAAGGAATGAAAGTTGAATTTGCTGGCGCGGAGTGTGGCAAGCCACACACGCCAAGCAGCGGCGCAAGCGCAGACCGTGGGTTCAGCGCTATATGCGGTGAGTATGTTTGTGCGCGCGCGCGAATAAGAAGTGAGCCAGCAACGCGGTTCAATAATAATCTGTTGCACCAATCAAACAAAATATGCGATCACTCAAACAAACGGGCAGCAGCAGTAACAGTCAAAAGCTGAAGCGGCTGCAGCAGCTGCACCGCCCTTTCCTGCCGCGCCGCTCGACGCTCGGAGCGCGCGAAGAGCGGCAACTTGTAAGGTGTTGTATTCTACATTAAGTATACGCCGGGGTGTGCTTGCGCGTACAATAGCAGTAAACATTTGTACGTTTGCTTGTGCTAAGAGCAAATGAGTGCTAGCGTGCCGTGCGCGCTGTGTGCGGCTTACGTATGGCGGGTAGCGGGCTGTTGGCGGCGGTGTGTTCGCTTCACTTTGTTACAGATTTTCAACTTCTATGCCGTTGTAGCGGCGCAGCAGCGTTACCGTTGGTTGTAATGGTGAGCACCAAACGTCTATGCGAACTCGAACTCTCAAACGCAAATTCTAATGGTACGGGTATATAAGTGTCAGCTGCGGCCAACAGATATCACAGTACGACGCAGTACGAAAAACCAATTGGAAGTTTAAAAATTCCTAAATAATCTAATTCAATTTTTATAGTCCGATTGGCTTACTTCGCGCTGTTGTATAGACTTTTATAGTTTTCTGTCTTCGCTAAGGAGTAATTATATAAATTTAGAAAAATGTTCTGCAAATTGGTGAGTATCGTAAAATCAAAACGCAAATACGCCGCAAAACCACACACATGGATTATATAATTAAACGCGCATTTCGTTTCCCAACCCAACAACAGGCACTCATCTCCGCTCTCATCGCCTTGGCGTTGGCAAAACCACAACATCAATCAGCTGCTCAGTACCCAGCTGGTGTGAATCCACAGGACTGTCCCGGTTTCCCGATCTGTGATAACGCACGCCTACACAATCCACAAGCGCACTGGGGTGCACCCGCGCCCGCCTGGCAACCGCAACCACAGTGGGGCGCTCCTGCACCCTCCTGGCAACCACAACCACAGTGGGGCGCTCCAGCACCCTCTTGGCAAGGCGCTCCAGCATCTTCTTGGAACGGCGCGCCAGCAGCTAGTGCTGGTGGTGATAAATTCCCAGCTGGCGTTAATCCACACACCTGCCCCAACTATCCATTCTGTGATGTGAATGCTGGTCATGGTGCCGTCGCTGCACCACCACTACCCGGCTGGACCGAACGTCAGTACCCAGCTGGCGTTTCTCCGCATCAGTGCCCCAACTTCCCCTACTGCAACTAAATACAGCTACAACAACAACAACCACTGTCGCAACTGTAGCGTTCGCTTGTAGCGCTGCGGCTGCGGCAGTAAGCGTCTACAGCCCGTCGGACGAAGTCCCGCTACCAGTATCCTATCCTGAACAGAAAAAAAACAAGTTATCGAATATACAGTCTACTCACTGCCAATGTCAACCAACTTCAATGCCACTTCCATATCACTTTTTGTTTGTTATTGCCTTTTTACAGCGCCTGAAGTTCTCAAGTTCTCAATTCTATTGTACAGCTGGAGTTTGTTGTTGGTCCATAAGTAAATAAAATATGCATTTGGAATTTTATTTGTCCTTATAAACAAAGATTTTTATTTTGTGAACATTTTTTTTTTACGCAATGACAATTATGCTACGTTCTCAACTCGACGGGTTCTAGGCCGCGCTTCTTTCTGCTTAAGTCGTTAGTATACATACATAGGGTTAACTAGTTTCTAGAAACAATTCCTCTGAATAAATAGTACTTTCTACACAGGCTGGACCCTCAGAACCCTCAGAATCCTTCCTCTATTCAAATAGTTTGCTCGTTCCATTCTCCCCCTCTCGCCAGCAATTCACTTCCCTACAACGGCTCTTAACTATTTTCTCGTATTGCAAACTCTTAAAAGTTGCCACAATTTGCACGCCAATAATTTATTGACTACACTTGACCTTCTCCGCTATTGCCAAGAACCGCATTCCTCATTAGCGGTACCCAAGCGTGTACTTAAAATCTATTTTACTTGCTCATAAACAAGGCAATTTGTCCACTTTACACACTGCTTGCGGACATCAATCAAAATGCAGTGCCGGAGACCAGCACCCCCCTTACTCAGTACTACTCAACCGGTCTGTCAATAAATCTTAATCAATGCGTGCAACGCCCACAAAACTGTCAACTTGTCGTCGCTGCCGCTACCGCTACCGCCAATTGGCGCGGAACTGCAGCGAACCGAACTTGTAACGCAGTTGTAGCGTATTTTGTGAAAGTCGTTTTATTGCTACAGTTTTACCTTTTCGTTTTAATTAATATGTAATTTTTTCACCGCCCATTACTGCTTAGCTGCCCATAAGTGTTTGTGGTTCAGCGCTGCCGCATTGCGCAGTCCGCTTTGTTCTGGGCCTCGCTGGTGTGTGTGTGTGTGTGTTTGAATGCGCAGCGTGTCTATTCATTAGGCGCTTAATGCGGCTGAATTGTTCAAGGTCAAGTCCATGCCGCGCCGCGCACTACTTGCCGCACATTCAATGTTGCGGATACATATGGTCAACATTCACCACACACAAAGCGCACGCGCGCGCAGAAAAAAATTGCTTTTGGGCAAAACCATGTTTCACACGCTGCGTTTGTTGCTTAGTTTTATTATTGCGCGCACAGCTTTATTCGCTTTGCGGCAATACAGCGCGTTGCAGCAGCAAGCGCACATAAGCCATATTTACATACACAAATACGCATACACGCTTACATATTTGTCCGAATAATTAGTGGCTCTATAAACGCTTTGTTAATGGCGTTTCGTAAATTATCTAGTCAGCTTGCTTATGGGCTTTTACGGTCTCAAATTACAGTTATGTGACAATTCTCCATCGCAGCTGCCACCCACTGTACGTGTATCTGTATGTGTGTATTAATGGTTATTTGTCAAAGTTGTGGAATTTTATTGATATTAACTTTAGTTTAAGCGCTTAAAAATGTCGCTCATGATTTGTACAACAACAACCATTCTTTTCTATACGCGTGAATCACGAACTAGTTTCTGCTGGAAATGCCTTTTGTAAAGCTGTAAAGCTCTTTGCAGCAGTAAAGCAACTTTTCATCGCATTTGCAATTAGTTGGACTTTGTTGTGGCTAAGTTATGTCTTCCTTAAAGTTGTAAATTATATTAAATATGGTGGAGAAAATGTCACAAGCTAACGGGATTGGAATAAATGTTTAATAATTAGTTAATGCGATCACAATAGAATAATAATAAAATCTTTAGGCAATATGATTGATAAGTACTAATGTGAGTAGAGAGTTCTTGGATACTTTGTATGAAATCATGTACTCTTGCTGGGAACATAACCATCCAAAGAAGGTAGCAGACCATTGCATTCAGCAACTTGAAACAAGCGAAAAAAGCTGAAACTTGTTGTGTAAGTAAATTATATACTAAGCCATGTCTGTCTGTCTATCTCTCTCTGTATATACGCGAACTAATCTCTCAGTTTTTGAAATAACTTTGTGAAATTTTGTACACATTTGTTCTCCCCAAGAAGCAGCTCATTTGCCGCAACCGCCGATATCGGAACACTATAGTACATAGCTGCCATATAAACTGTTCGATCAAAGTCAAGATAAATAACTTTATAAAAGACAACAACAAAGACTAACACACTGATAATGCTGGTAGAAGCATGGATGGTCGTACCCTAAACTCTGTATGGTATAATGATTAAAGGATTCGAAATGATTTCATACACTCAGCAAAACCAGCAAGTTGGATTTTTGAATTTCTTTTCGAACTTTACAGATAATTTCTGGTATTTTTGTCATTTAGTATGGTTAATAAATTATAGTTTTTTACACAATTGTTGGGTTCTAACCAATGTTGGTTTAATGCACATTAAAGTAAACTTTTTATTATATTTTTATTTATACTAATAAATGTTGCAACAATATAAGGAGCTACTCGATGGTTCCATGAAAGTTATTTGCATGCTTCGTTTTTCGATTCTTTTGGAAAACAGCAGATTATTACAAGCCTTTCTTTTACCAGTAAAATCCTTCGCTAAATAATGAAAAAAGCAGTTACCGTTTGGTGTCGAATCCGGACTATAAGGTGGATGCATAAGAACCTACAAACAAGTTCCCGTGTTGTGTGTGATCTAGCGTTATCCAGATGTAACACAATTTCTTTCCACAGCTGGCCGCTTCTGGGTATTTGCTTCCCTCAGGCAATTCAATGTTTGCAGGTTAGGTCCGAATTATGATTCTGGCCGTAGAAAATCAGCTCATAGTAGATGATTTCCTACCAATCCCACTAAACACATAGCAAAACCTTTCTGATCAATCTTGGCTTGGTCATCCTTTGTACCGGCTCCCTGTGATTCCACCGCAAACGTTTACGCTTGACGATATCGATTAATTCTATGAAAAGTTTTCCATTGCAAAAATGCTCTCTTAGGTTTTCTATCGCTTGCGGAGGGACGATGATCGCTAACAATAATATTATAAGAAATACTCGTAACAATTTTATTTAGCGATTAACAGAACTACTCATGCTCTAATTAGTATTCGGATCTTTTTGAGCGAATAGATGAACACACTCAAACATTTTAAAAGGCTCATATATGTATTTTGCAGTTTAAGCTTCAGTCTGTTCAGAGTTGAACATATACCTTTCAGGAACTGAAAAAATCCTGCTAATTGACACATTTCAGAAGAAGAGTTGCCCACCAATTTGGAATTCGGAAATAATTTATTCGAAGTATCATCTTCTTTTGCAACAAAATACCCGTTTATAATACCATGGCAAAAATCATTTACTATTATAACGAGCCAATAAAGCATCACAAATTCCAACAATAACAAATTCTCGTAACTAATCGCTAATCACTACTAGCAGCAGCAGGAGCAAGCATTTATAATTCAAAAGACAATCGGTACCCATTTGCTTTTACAAAAATTTATGTGAAAATTGCGGCATTTACTTGCGAACTCATCAAGCATTAGTAATTTAACGGTAAAACGGTAAAAATGCCAGTGAAGAGAAAGAAAATTGCAAACCGTAAGACATTGCTGACGAACTACTATCGGAACGCTAATTTGTTGCATGAAAATGTTGTAAGTATTTCCTGCTGCTGGAGCAGCATTGTTGCAGTCACATATCAGCAACATATGTAGGCTACGATGTTAGCGGATTAAAAAGCTATAACAACAAATATATTAATGGAAAAGATAAGTGTAAAAAAATAAAAAACAAGTTTTTTTCGCGTAATTTCAACGCATATACGTGTATGTTTGTTTGTGTGTGTTTGTATAGCAAAAGTTATATAATTATTATCTAGGAAATAAATTTTAACTCTCAAGAAATAACATGATTTTTCGTTTATTACAGTTTTTCTTTATTTTATCCTATTTCCTTCTTTACATATTTCGATAGGCATTTCACACACACATACATACAGATATGTGTACACATGTATGTACTTTTTGCTAAACAATTATTTACACAAAAAAAAAATATAAAAGACCAATAACAGTTATACTCTATATATATGTGTGTATGATATTCTCTAGATATGCTAAATGTATGTATGTAAATAAAGCAAAATCAAAATGAGAAAAATACAATGAAATAAAAAAATAGAGCATCTATAACTAAATAGACCAGAATAATATGGAAGTCGAAAATATATAATTAAAATAAAATTCATGTCAGGTAAAATGAAATTTGTACACATGGAAAAACGCGCGTGCGCTGTAGTAACATTAAAACAACCAAAAAAAAAATAAAAAAATAAAAAAAAAATACAAAAACAATTGTGTTAATACTCAATCGCTTATATACGTGCATATATGTACATATGTATGCATATTATTATATAAGCATATAACTAAAATTGTAACTAGAGCATTGCTAATGGCAACACCTAACCGGATGAGCGCCTCCACTCACTCCCTCTCTAGTACCAGCCGCCCTTGTGGTAGTCGTGATGATCTTCTTCGATGTGATGAACTTCCTCCTTGTGATGGACATGCACTGGCACATGCACCTCCTTAATAACGGGCACATGCACTTCCTTGTAGATAGGCACATGCTTGATGACCTCCACTTCCTTGATCACGGGCACCTCCACCTTCTTGATGTGATGGTGGTGAATGGTGTGCACCTTGTAGGGTACATGGATGGTGTGGTGTTCACTGTGATCGATAGAAGATAGATAGTGGCGTAATGTGGATAAAAAAATTATGGTAAGAAATAAAATTTTTTTTTTTTATTATAATGATCGTTAAAAATCTAAGTGTATGAAATAAATAGAAAAGTGCAGCGTTATTAGCATTTAATTGCTTTATATTATTTGTATAAAATACCAACATTATAATTAGGATAGTCAAAGGCAGTTAGATATGGTAAAAAATATACTGAATTTTTTAAATCATGAACTGGCGGCCGTCGGTGACGATCAAAGTGCGCACTACGTAGGACTTGATTTCGAACCTTATTTCGATTAATAATTCATCGTTTTTTCAAATGTCAATATCACTCGGCAGAAAGTCTCTGAACGTAATTGTGTCAAGTAAAAGCTTCTCATAAAAATTCATTATCGGTTCGTAGTCGACAAAAAACTCGTTAAGACGAGAAGTTTGTCCATATCCATAAAGCTAATTTAATGTCAAATCTTTAAGTATTTCTCAGGTAAATTAATTTAAAAACAAAGAAATCGTTAACTTCGACTGCACCAAAGCTATTATAGCCTTAACAGGTGCATTTCTTATGGCATAAAAGGGTATAAAAAGATTTTGAACAATAAGTTTGTATGGCAACTATATGCTATAGTGGTCCGCTCTGAATAATATCTTCGGAAATTTTACCGTTGCTTTGGACAATAATCCATGACAAATTTCGTGGAGACATATTGTGAAATAAAAAAGTTTCTCATACAAGGATTGGATTTTTACCGATCAGTTTGTATGGCAGCTATATGATGAAGAGGTCCGTTATCAACAGTTCCGACAAATAAACAACATTTTACCGTAAATTTTGAGTTATATACACCAGTTATTGTTATGTAATTGTATTTAAATATAAGTTTGTGTGCGGGAATAGTTTATTCGAAGCTTTGGTCAATTTTACATATTCTTGGCTTGAAGTAATTTTTAAATGCGCATTAATTTATTTTCACTTCCTTAAAAAAAACTTAAAAAAAATTAAAAAAACAAAATCAAATAAAAAAAAATAAAAAAACAATTCGCACTACTCCATCAAATTGGAAGCAAATAAAAGTGAAAACTATTCAATTATTCCGCAGTTTCTTTGTCTATTGCCGCGCCACATTCACTATTATAATTGAGTGAGTGCCACATTATAGCACCACAAGTAATACTGTTGACAATTTACGCAAGACCGGGAGCTACGCATGCGCAACAATGGTTAGACGCTGTTTGGCCTGTTTTGCAATTATGCTACTTACTACCGACTAACTGACTGACTGACTGTCTAACTGTCGTTGGTCAGTCTGACTCTGTGTACACACACACACCATACATACCAGTGTGACACTGTGAGTGCGGTTAAATCATTTGGCAGAAGACCAATGTACGCTATTTATCCATAATTTATGCTTATCACAGCTAATTAGTTTTTTCTTTCAACATCGGATATAGTAAACACGCAGTGTGTCCAAGAAATTCCTATGCATGCAAGTGGATGTCGCTAGAGCCGATTGACTCTTTGCTTTCCTGCTGCGCATATATACCGTTATACTTGCACATATAATTAAAGAGAAAAGGAAAACGCATTGACAAACAATCGAAACCATTTGATCGCCGTTTATTGTGTTGATATTGCGTGTTGTTGCAGCACTGGGTTATTGACCGGTTTATTTAATCAAATAAAAATTACAAAATATAACTTCTGTTAATTAAAATACAACAAATGTAATTTTTAAATTGCTGCCTTGAATCAAAATCGTGAAATTATCAAATCGAGTTGCGCTATTGCTGTTGTACTTACTGTTTGCCACCACCAAAGAAACCGGGATTTGGCGCGCAATAGGCCAACGCGAAGAGAGCACTGAAGATCACCTGAAATGAGAGATAGGGGAGCGATGGTTTAAGATCTGTTTATATAAAAGTGAAATAAGAAGCAAATATAAATAATGTCCTCAATGTCCTCATGTGATAAACACCGCCCACAATCAGAATTTAATGTTTTTGTCTACTTAGTTAAGTTCATTATTGCTTATATTGAGAAACGGAAACAGTCATCCAGAGACTAAAAAAATAGATCGTTACGTCCAAACATACAAATATTATATGATCATGAACCAGTTTTGTAAAAGCAGTTACAGCGTCAATTTAGGAAAACAATTCTCAGATATTTGAATTTTTATTTATTCAGAAGTGGAGTTTTTATGATTTTAAAGCTTTCCGTTAGTTTTTAACGTTTTAAGAAATGAATATTGTCTGAAAAATAAGAAAACCTTCTTTTTCGTCAGTAAATTTTACACGCCGAGTTTTTATAAACTGAAGTTATGGCTCTAAAACTATATACAAAATTGTTCTAAGGTGGATTTCTACAAGCAATTCTAGGCTTCCTTTCTATTCTTCATTATGTCATTCTATTTTTTTTTTTATTTAACTCAGCGATACTGAATTATTAATTTTCTAATGAACGATCGTTGGTCTTCAACCAACTTTCTCTTTCAGTACATACATATAAAATATTTTAAGGACTTAAAATGTTTTCTCGAGGGAATGTCAAAATAATCATAGATCTCACATGAAATTTTTTGTTTTAATACAATTCTTCTTAATTATAAATTGCGTAGGGTGCATTAAGTTTGATACGGAGTTTGTAACTCTCGGAAGGAAATGTCGAAAATTCTATAAGATATAAATATTTCTTCAGTTGGGTTATATCATCTGTATGATATTCTTCCATACTATAACGCAAGAAAAAACTTTTGGAAATTTCAAGCTTCAATAATCAGTCAGGGACACTGACTGGGAGAAATTCAGTGTATTGTAATTGAAATATTATATAAAAATATTATTTACTTTTTTTTTGCAAAGATTTTAATTTTTAATTTTTTGCTCACCCTGTACTTCTGTATAAGATATTATATAAATTTTAATACTTATATTATATGTCATCTGTTGTACTGGTAAGACCTTAATGAGGCCACGAATGTTTATATCATTATAGTTTAAAAAGCCACCGAGATATATTACTATTCAGTGTATATTAATTTCGTTTGGATAAAAGGGAGCATTTTTGTAATATTAATATCATGTCATAGATTTTTATGGATTTAATGAAACTAAAAGTAAATGAAAGCTTACAACTAATATAGCAGAAACGTTAGAAAATTTATATAAATTTGCCAATCTTTTATACAAGAAAAAATTTAAGTAAAATTCAAAGCGAGGAAAGTTGAGTTGTTGTGGTAAAACATTTACTATTTCTAATGTTTTTCTTTATCGAAAAAATGAGTTTTTTGCTGCTAAGTAATCCGAACATTTTTAAGCTCTCGTCACATTGCAAAAATCATATCTATGAACTGAATATATTTAAGAGTGATTAGGGAATATATATGCAAGTTCTTTTATTCTTTAAAGCTAAAGTGACTGACACTACGAGTTGTTATTGTTTTTATCGAAATATTCGTGTTTTTTCAGTGGCTGGTATACAGCTGTGATACTTATTCCCATTCAATCAAGTTTTATACCGAAGTTATTAGGAAATATAGGACGATTGAACAAGCCTACTCCACCTATCATTTGAAAGCTAAACTGGCTTCTAGGTTCGAGTGAATCTGACCAGAATGTGTTTGTTGATTTGTAGAAAAGCAGCACGAGGAGAATTCCTGCCTGAAATTGGCTTCACTAATATTATGGTTCTATATTGTCTATATACATTTTCTTGCTTTGAACTTAACAGATCGGATCACTATAACATAGTGTTCCCTTCCATTGATTGTTGCGACATGATATTCGCACCACCTCTCTACCAGTTTTTGAGATATCAATTCGAAATTTTGCACACGCTCATTTCGCCTTTAAATAGCTACTCATTTGTTGCCTCACCGATTCTAACAAACCTCCATCCATAGGATTTAGGTGCAATACAAATTGACCGATCTGCTGTATACGTATAGCTGACATGCGAATTTTTTAATATTATGTAACGCAATTTTCATAACCCAGCATCATATATACATACATATATAAAAGACATAACTTTTGTTTTAATCTTTTTTGTCTAAAAGTTAGCAATATTAACTAGGAAATGCTATTAAAATTTGATAATGTCTGGTTATGCTGCTCTATTTACACAAACCACTAATTTTTTCAATTCTTTTTCTTCCATTTTATCCTGCTTAATTTAAAGACAACGCCTAACGACCAATTTTTTCACTGCAAAATCACTTTCAACATCTAACGCTGCGCACTAGTTACATATACATACATGTATGTATGTATAATATATATTTTAACGATGTCTTATAGCTGGCACAACACAGTCTTTATTTGTATCAATTGTATGTAAATATATTCACAATTGCACCACAAATATCCACAAACTCGCTCGCCACACAAAATTTATGACTCCTTTAACTCCTTGCCACAGGCTATATTTGAAGCACACACACACATAATACACATGCAAATGTATGCAAATGAAACACTGTTACACAATTGGATTACTACACTGAGCGAAAGGAAAACCAAAAATGTGTCGGACACTTACGAAAACTTTGAGGGCGGTCATACTGGGGCTGTGTGATAAGCGTCAATGGTGTTTTTGGTTATAAAGTTGTAAAATCCAGTAACTGGCGACCGGCGTTGCAATGTGTACAGCGACTAAATTGAACTGATAACCGAGTAGTGGCGCTGTGATGTTTTTATATGTTGCGCGCAGGCGCATTGCCCAAAAAACAAACAAAGCCACATACAAGCCAGCAGGTGGCTATGTGTGTGTGTGTGCAATGTAAAGCAGCCACAAAAGTGGCAGCGGTAGATGGCTAGCGACAGTGGCGGTTATTACAAGTGAATGCAGCGCAAAGCTTTTGCGCTTTTTTTCGAAATTAATTTGGATGTGTGTGTGTGTTCATACGAATTGCTGCTAGGTCTGAAAACCAAAAAATATCACGTCAATTGAAATGTTGAGCGAAAATTTTAGCAAATGCGCCAAAAACAAAAGCAACAGCAACAACAACGGTAGTCAAAACGCTAATTCGTAAGCAGTGCAGCAGCGGCTACAGTAGCAACCATAGAAGAAGAGGAGAAGGAAACAGAAACAGGAGCAACGTCGTGTAAACACCGAAGATTTGCCGCGGCAATTGTTGAGTGTGCTCGCAAAATAATGAAGAGACAATTGCTTCACGATTTTTTATTGCTCACATTGCTGTGCATTGCGCAGTTACTCGCGCGCCGCTACACGTACAAACATATATGCATAATTATATATGCATGTGTGTGTGTATTATGTACCGCTCACGCACGCACGTGTTGTCTGCGATGTGCATCGCTCAACATCATCGCTTGCTGCGCGCTGCCGATCACTATGTTGCTGCTAATTCACACAGCTGTTGGCCACTGTTAAGCACTGTTAACTGACAGCGCTGACTGTTATGTCTGCTACAGCTGCGCAGCCGCCGCCGAAGATTCCTCGATTGCAAGTAGTTTTGTTGTCGCCAAATTTGCCTAACAAAGGTTAACCTTGAGTTGAACCTGCTACAGACCGATTATACACACGCACACACATTCACATGCAGATTTTTTTACACATATATATGTGTATGTTAATTGCTTTGTAAGCAATTGTAAAAAACAAATCCATTTGAAATACTTTTTGATCTTATTTCATTTGCATTGTTGCATACTTCTTTTGTTTTGTTGTTGTTTTATTTGTTTTTAAGTTATGGCTTTCTTTCAAATGTCACACAACAACAATGTGATTATGTTATGATTATTTTTAAATCATATTGTGTACATGTTATTTTTTGTGTTATTTTTTCAGCTTTTGCTTTTGTTTTTGGTTTTCTCTGCAGCTGTGCATTTGTTATTGCCGCATCAGTTCACATTTTACTTTTTGGAAATTAATTTCTGCCTCCCGGCGAACTCTGACTATTTTGATCTGCTCTGCAATACAACGTTGTGTATAAGTATGTTTAGGATTAGTTTACATACAATACATTGGTAAATTTATTGCGTAGACTTAATCGCCTTCAGCAATAATAGTAAAAATATGTAACTTAAGTCAAAAATCATATCGCAATATCTTTCCAACAAAACATTTCAATACTGCACCATTAGCGGAAAGAAATATAAAAAATAATAAATTTGTCTTTAATTAATGCGCGATTACTAAATTTTACGTTTTACAGTTAGTCATAAAAAGCGAAAATTGATACAGTTATTTTCATTCACACTGTAGAAATTTCGGTAGATTTGTAATAGCTGTTGTTTTACAATGCCGTTTATTAAGTAAGCAAATGTACGAGTATATGTTACATGTAGGTATGAATTGTAAAAAAGTTAGGTTAGTTAGTTCCCGGCAACCTGGATATTTTTTCTTCATAAAATTTAAATGTAGATTTATGGAAAACAGTTAATTTTACAGACACAAGATCCAAACAACTAATTTCAAAATGAACGGAATGAAGATACAAGGTGTGTTCCAAAGTAAACAGGACTTTTAAAAAAAGACAGAACAAATGGTTTTATCGGCAAAATCAATTCATTTTATTCAAAATAATCTCCTTCTTCTTTAGTACAGCTTTTTGCACGGTCCAAAAAAATCCAATGAATATACTTGTATTGTTATCGCCTTCAAAATAGAGTCCTTTTGAGCCAATACAAGTCTGCCAACGGTTAATCAAACGTTCAAAATGTCTTGAATTGATCCGTAAGAAATGTTAAGATCCATTGTTATCTCTCTGATGCCAACACGAAGATTTTCAAGCACTGTCTCTTTAACTTTTTTGATGTTATCGTCATTAACAGAGGTGGATGCATCACTTACATGAGGCAAGTTTTCGTTGACTTCACGACTTTCACAGAATGCTTTGTGCTACTCAAATTGTGTTCGCTATAAAGTAGACTTCCCATAACTTCTGAAACATTTTCAATGATTCATGGCCGCGATCCTTTTGTAATGTTTTCATTACTTTCGCCACACAAATTTCGCGTTGAACAAAAAAAACTTCGCACGAGCATATAAAAAAGATTAACAGTTAGGAAAAAACGGTTTGAACCATTCGGGTAAAGTTTGTCAGTTGGTAGTTTTGAAAAATTTCTAGCGACATTTTTAACTTGATTTATTTAGACTGGAAGAGTTTCGAAAGACAGTTTAAAGCTCACAATTTGAATTATTTGACTGACGTATTGAACTCGATTTGAAAAGCGGTTAGCCAGTTTTGAGATCTCTATCAATTTCAGCAATAAAGCACTTAATCTTCAATCACTCGGAATTCTTAGATCAATTTAATATTTAGTATTTTATTTTTAATATTTTATAATCTAATGTTAAACGATTGTGATTAATAAAATTAAAAAACTATTTTGTTAAAATACTTCTATATCAGATAAAAAATATATATTTAATAAGATTAAAAGTTGTCGAAACTTGAATAATAGTTCTTAAGTGAATTGAATACTTTCTGGATTTTGTAAGTTAGCACCAGGGTTGCAAATAATGCATTAAATTATTTGAATTAAATTTTTTTCGTTTTATTGTCTCAAAAATCTTGATCAAAAATAATTTTCACATTTATTCGTCCGAATGTCGGATTGAAAAATTATATATAAATTTAAAAATTAAAAATGGACATTTTTAGCCCGAATATCGGATTTAAAAGTAAAAAAAAAAATGTTCACTCGAAGCTTATAGTTAAAAATTTTAAAAGCTGTATATTTAAATTTTAAGATATTTCCTTAACTTGTTTCCAGTGAGTGTATGTAATGTGTCACTTAACTAATTATTTTCAAAATATAGCAGTTTAACAGTTATTCAAAATGTTCATTTAAATTACATAGAAGTCATTCGATATAACTGATGGTAAATATTCTTTTTAATCTAGAAAATGATTTTCATGAAAAATAATAAAAATGTTTGCCTTTAACTAATATGTTTTATTTATTTCTTTATATTTTTCTGTTCACTAGATCAAAAATAAATTTTTCTCAGTATGCTTAACAGCTACTTATATTTAGCGCATGCTGAGATCAACGCAAATATAGTTTTCGCTGCAATAAAAATTAAATTTGCCAAAATGTCGCAAGTGTAAATATAGGGTTGGTGAGTAAGCCCACTCACATACATACATACATGTCTATGTACATAGTCATATGAAATTATGCACATAGTTCACCGTTTCATTGATAAGTGCGTCCACTGGCTGTTGGTGGTCATCCACGTCAATCATTTAGCACATTAACGGCTATAAGCTTATACACATACATATAATCAGAGGTGCATGAATTTGCTATGGCATGTGTGTGTGCGTGTTAAAATTTGTGACCGTTTGTTCAGACTGGTAGCGGTTAATGTTGACATGCTAACTGCAGTTACTTGTAATTCATAGAGCTCGCGCAATTGCAGTTTTGCGCATGCGGTAGCAGTTAACAGCCGGTTTTCTAAAATGTTGAAACAAATTTTCGTTAGCATTTTTGTGTTGCAGATAATTATGAAATTTTAAAATTTTATTTTTTTCACCGAATTTTATATACCATGAACATGCAATGTTTGATGTTGCAACAGCAATTAAAAGTAATTGAGATTTTAAAATAAAACGGAAAATTAAAAAATTAAAAAAGGAAAATGCCATAGAATTACAAAAAAAAAAAAAACATTTACAACGCAAGTTCTTAAGCTAGTCTAATCTATCTTTTAGTTCTCAAATAACATGAATCAAAACGTGCTGCATATACTGCCATGTTTACATATACATATAAATAAGTACTTAGATATATATCTTCATACATATATATCCATCATATATAAAATTATTTTATTGATACATTTTCTTGCTCGCTGACAGCATAATCTACCGCAAAATCGTTGATAAAGTCCACTCCTGTGGTGAGCCGTCAACGCCCCGCTTGGAACTCTAGGGCGGGCTGTCTTATACTTCATATTCATTTAAGCATATGCATATAAAAATGTTTTAAAAAAAATATATTTTTGCAATTTCTGCCATTCATGCATGTTGAGCACTGTGAACCTGTGCTCACATGCGTGCAACACATATCAATGGTGAGCGGTTAGGCGTGTAACTTTAGGTATGGTGCACTTTGTTTTTGGCTTCAGATTTTCATAGACTATTTATGGCGAATTTGGATTTGTTTTTCTACTTTTTCTTTTTCTTCAAACATTTATTAAGTAATTGTCGCAGCTCAAGCAGACAAAACAATTGCGTTTGGCCATAATAATTGACTTAATTCACTTATTGTCCCAGCAACAATTGTTATGTTTTATATTCTTCTTGCTTTATATTGTTAACAATTACACTATATGACATTACTTTTTATAAATTTTATATACTTTATAAACATATAAATGCCACAGACATTTTGCATTATTCATTGCATATTAACATAACTTTTAAGCGCTATATCAAAACAATAAATAATCAATAGTAAAATAATAGTAAAACATAAATGAAAAGTTTTACTGGTGCCGAGATATATATCACAAGAATTTCTATTCTTGCCTAAAGTATTTACTTTAACAGATTAGATATTTCAATATAATCGTTGTCAAGTTATTACGGATTTTTCGAATGAAAGAGGTTTTGCAAATATAGGTAAAGTTTTTTTACACGTCCTCATTCAGCGATACTACCGATAAATGCAGAAATTACTAGGAACTGCCT